TGATAACATGGATGAATCTCTGAAATATTATGTTGAGTGGAAGACATTTTATTATTTCATTTATATAAGCACAAAGAACAAACCAGTGGTGATACAAATCACATCAAACTAATCAGTATTGATAAAAGTTAAAAAGTGGTTGCCTACGACTGAGATGGAGTGACTCACTGATAGGAGTAGGATCCCCAGATGTTATATATTTCTGTCTGATCTGAATTTTATATAATAAGCATGCAGTATTTATGAAAATTCTATAATAATACACTTAAAAATAGGCTTCTCAGTTTTAGATATGTTGTTGTTGTTGTTATGTGCCGTTGAGTCACCAGTGACTCATAGACCCTGTGTACAAAACCCCTAAACCCTGCTCTATCCCTTGTCAATCTTATTGTCTCCAACACGCCTATCCCCATTACCCCAGTGACTGAATCCGTCTCATCGAGGGTCTTCCTTTCCTGTGCTGTTCTATACATGAGCAAAATTTTTCAGAACTTACTGAAAAATGAGCAGACCTAGGTCTGGGTAGAGAGGCAGCTGCTGTGTAAAAGAGCACAGGATATGGAGATATGGAGGCTCGGGGGTGGTGTGGTGTGTCCTGGGGATGTGGTCACTACTGAGCATCATATTAAAAAATCTGAGCTACTCCATAAGACAGGTATCACGTTACTCCCATTTGATTAGGAGGTAACTGAGAGCCTTAGAGGCAGACAGGGAAGCCTATGATTACACAGAGAGTAGGTAGTACAGTCAGGACATTCTGCCTGAGCCCTAAGTCAGAATCCTTGACCTAGATCTCTCTTCCCTCCCACTGTTCAGGCCTTCCTGGTTGACAGATCTAGAAGCTGTGGTGGCATAATGCATCACATGTTGTATTGCTAATAAAAAGGTCAGTGGTTTGAATCCACCGGGTGCTCTGCTAAGTGATGAGCAGTCTTTTCCTATAAAGATTTACTGTCTGAGAAACTGGATAGAGTGTCATTACAAGTCAGAATAAACTCGATGGCAGTATGTTTGGGCTGATTTTGGATTTTCAAATATATCACTACCTAACCAGCTCCTATCCTGAGCCATTGTCATGATCTCTACCAAGATAGGGCAAGGTTTCATTCTGATCTGTTTATAGGGTCTCTGTTAGTCCTAGTTAAAGCAATGGCACCTAACAACAGTAACAAATTCTATTGAGCCTTTTGATTTCTGTGATTCAGTGACTGAAAGTCCGCTCATTGAGGGCAAAGCTTTGTTTAGCTCACTGCTAGGCAGCTCTGATGGCATCGTTCATAGGCAGTTGTGCTGCTAAGTCAAAGGTAGTACTACCTTTTTGTTAGTTCAAATCCACCAGAGGCTGGCTTTGCAGGAAAAAGATGATCAATCTTCTCTCATACAACTTATAGAAACTCCCTGGATGGTCAGCTATGAGAATTGTGCCTCACATATAAGTCGGTGTTCTCTCTTTGTTAAATGAGGGGAAACAATGAAAGAATTTCCTACGGGGGAAAAAACCCCAATGAAATTGACCCTTGGCTCAAAGAACCAGTTTATATGGACATAGGAGGATGTGAGCCAGGTCCCTAACTTAAATCAATTTTCCCCAAATCCAATCTCTGCTTCTCTGAAATCCAAAAGCCTCAATTCACGAGCTCAATAATTACCCTGTTCTTGGCCGTGTTATGATCACAGCACAAACTAGCTCAGTTCATGGAAGAGTCGGAAGAAAAGAAAAAGAAAAGATGGTTCTATCTTATTCTTGGCTACACTTTTGTTGCTACTGCTGTTTATGTCTCTGTTTCTCAATCAGGAACATGGACACAGGATGGAGAAGGGCTCAGAACAATCAGATTTAATATTTTATGTCTTCTCTCCTCCAGTCAAACCCATGCTCTGATGGAGATATGGTGGTGTTGGTGAGAACCATAGGATCAGGGCTGGGATGAGATGATAAAGCAAAGGCTTAGGGAAGAGAAGCATTTGGTGGCTAAGGACATGCAGGAAAGCAACAAGAGGTCCAAGTGGCACAGAACCTGGTTCTTGCCCCCACCTCAGGGCCCTCCTCTCCATGAGCACAGGCAAGGCCAGGGACAGGTTGCATCTGTGTCCTAATCAAAAGAACCAATAATCTACAAGGCAGAGATCAACTGAGAGAAAGACCTTGTAGGGATTTCCCACTCTGACTACAGCCCTGTCCTCCCCACCCAGTTCACAATATAGGTCTACTTGCATTAGATGGCCTGACACATGGCTGGAGGTCCTAACACCTGTGAGCCCTATAGGCTCCATCTACAGTCAGAGGTCTGGCTTCTCAGGAGCCAGAAGAGGCCACCAGGAGAGGTGGAGCTGGGGTACACAGGTGTGGGAGCCTAGGCGTGGGTGCTGATGCTGCAGCAACTCTGCTATTAGGTTCCATGGTGGTTCTCAGGCCACTGACCTTTAGGGCCCTGGGGCCTGGGCCTCCAAACATGGAAAGGTTCCTGGTATGTTCTAATCCCCTCACATACTCCCTAGGTAATTACCAGTTAAACTACTCTAACTCTAGTAGTGCAATTAGGACTTCAGAATAAAGAAGGCCCTCTGACAGCTGACTGTGTCCGCCCACAGCCTGAGCTTCCACTGAACAAAGATCTGTTGTTAAGCCCAAAGCATCGGAGGCCTTGGATCTTAACAAGACACAGAGATGGCGTGGGAATACACAGAATTTGGAATCCAAAGCCCCAGATGATGGCCTAGATGTGCTGGGCAGCCCTGGGCAGGCCACATAACCTCTCTGGGCTTTGTCTCCTTACCTGGGAAATGTAGTTGGCAAAATAGCTTTACGTGTTGTAGCATAGACTGATGAGGATTATAAGGCTGTGAAGTTAAAATACTAGGTTTTTGTTTTTGGGGTTTTTTTTAGGTTTTATTTTAAAAAGAACTACAAATATCTTTTGGTAGTCTCTTAAAATCTGAGTTTCATGTGTGTACACATTGTGTGTTGGGTGTTCTTGTCACACCCACGTCATAGATAGGATAGCAGAAGGGACAAGGTGAGCAGCAACCAGACTCAAGGTCACCTTCCAAGGTGAACCCTCTACCAACCAATCACATAGCAACCCTAAGGGATGGTATCATTAGGAGCTCTGTTTTGCAAAGAGAGACTCCATGCTCAGAGAGGTAAAGAACTTGTCTAAGATAGCATAGCAGGAGCAGAAGGGGAACCAGGTCTGCCTAAACTTAAGCCCAGCTCAATTCATAACAGCCTTCACCATAACTGGATGCACTTGACCCAGGGAGGTTGGGAAGAAGCAGGAAGTGACTCACTCTGATGGATAGCTCCCTTAGGAGTATTCTTGGGGTCACTCTAGTTACAGCTTATTTTAATACTCATCTTGGGTCAGCCTGTCCTAAGGAAAGAGCTTCAGCCTTGGTTCCACATATGGTCTTCTCTCCCATCTGCTCTAAGTTTCTAGTGTTGCGAGTCAACTATCTCTGAAAGTCAGCACCAGGAAGGCAGCATCGAGTGCGTGGGGACTTGTGACTGACACTGGGCTTTCAGCACTTGTTTACTGGCTGCAGTCTGATAATGAAGCCCCCCTTGGATCTCCCCTCCTTCTGCAGGACAGGTGGAAGCAAATAGCTGAGAACCCCACCAAGCCTATCTTTGCTCTGTCTTATGTTCCTCTGTCCAAATAACTCTGTAAGCTCTCTCTACTTTCCTGACAACAGAATTGTTACCTCCTTGAGCACTGGATTAGAGCCAGACAACCTGGGACACAGATGGCATGGGAAGACGGAGGACTTGGAATTGGGGAAATGGCGGTGAAGATTATGGTTGTTAAAGAGTTTGCCACGTTTAAGAGTGATGCTGTGGGGGTGACTGGAAGCTGTAGCAAAGGGATTCTTACTGCTCCCGACTCGATAATAGATCTTAGATGTAGTCCACTAAGTCCATAGAGCCAGTCTGGTCCTCTCCCAATTCTAACCTCTGCTAGTCCCCATCCACAGACAGGAGGCAAAGCAGATGAGGGATCTGATCAATGGCAAATACTCATGACCACAGATCAAAGTGATGAAAAATGTATCTTTGAGACTTGAAAATAAACAGCTCCAAAGTTTGAAGAAAAATTTCAGCAGAGAGAACTGGACTTTGCCTGAAAGGACAAGAAGGGGTCAGAGTACACACTGGATCATTCCATAGGCCTAAGAGCTCACTCTATACCAGGCCATGTCCCAGGTGCTGGGGCCGAGGTGACAAAAGTCCACATTTCCTGCTCACAGAGCTGAGTCTACTCCATCCTCATCTGGTTTCATAACAGCCAGCATCCTTTCCACTATTTGGTGGGCACAGAAGGAGAGACCTCTGTGGACTCAGGATACCTGGATCCTTGTCACTCGGATGTGACTGGTTTCACACTGAACTTTGTCCTTCTCTCCAGCACTGCCCTTATCACAGTGACAGCATCACTGCCTGTTTACTCATCTGTTTCCCCAGGGCCAGACTGTCTTCCTGGCACTGCCCAGGTCTGCCTGGACATGGCATGAGTCTTACTCTTGAGTATATTGAGGGCGGGGCAAATGTACGACCCCTGGAAGTGCCTGGTCCTCCTATGTCCACATAAATCCACAGGATTGACTTTCCTTGACCAGGCAGCTCATACTCCCTGTGTGGTCCCTGTCTTGCAAGTCAACTAGCCCAGGAAGGCAGTATTCAGTGCTTGGGGACTTGTGCTTGACGCTGGGCTTTCAGTTCTCATTTACTGGCTGCAATCTGACAATGAAGCCCACCTTGGGTATCTCCTCCTCCTGCAGTACAGGTGGAAGAGACCTCTCTCTTGTCCCTGGTCCCATCAAATTGTGGTTCTTAAAGCAGCTGATAATGCACTTCCAGCTCACTGCCAGGTGGCTGACGTTGCCCCGAGGTTGTGCGGCCCTCGGTACCCTCGACCCCTACTTTGTACTCTACATCCTACTGCCTCCAAGCCGGGAGCCCATGCAGAGGTCGCACTGTCACCGCGGGGGCTCACACTCACCCATGTTGACGAAGCTCATGACCAGATCGGCGCGCCCGAGTCCGCGCTCCTGGCGCCCACCGTCGTCGTCGTCATCGCCGGCCATGGCGTGGTAGAGGTCCAGCATGAAGAGCGGTGCGGACGCGGGCAGCCGTGCGGACGCGGGCGGCGCGCGGGGCCGGGGCCGTCCGGGCAGCCCGAGCACCGCCAGGATCTCTCGCTGCATGTCGCGCCGCTCGCGCGCTCCCAGGCGACGCTGCGGGCAGCCGGGCTGGAGGCGCTGGCCGGAGCCCCCACCACTGAGGGCACACAGGGCCAGGCCCAGGAGCCAGAGAGGACTGGGGCGCGTGGCCATGGCGTCGGGCCCAGCTCACCAGGTTCGCATCCGCTCAAGGCGGGAGCTGCGGGCCGGGCTGGAGGCCGGCCGGCCGGGCTGTGGTCGCCTGAGGCCGCCGCGAAGTTCCCAAAGAGCACCTGCCCAGCTTGGGCCGCGGGGAAGCGGTGCCTCGACAGGCGCTACCTCAGTGACCAAGGACTGTCAGCTAGTCTGTCAGTCCACGACTCGGCCAGCCGAGCAGAGGGTGGCACTGCCGGGGGGGCGCTCGGGCGGTAGGGGGCCCTCGAGTCGCTGCCTCAGCCCGGCTGCCCTCTGTGCTGTCGGCCACTCTTGGTCCCGCGCTGGCGGTGAGGCCCCGCCTCCTCCACAGCAGAACCAGTAGGAAGCAAGGAGGCGGGGCGAGCCTCGCAGGACCGACGTCTGGGTTCTCGAGAAGTGCGGGGCGAGTGTGAGTGACGGGCGGACCCAAAATCTGGGCCGCAGGCGACAGGGGGCGTCGGGACCTTCCCACCCAGCCGTTTATCTTGTTAATGAGCCCAGATTCACTATACTGTCGGGACAAAACCCAAAGCCGACACTCCCGCAGGGAGTGGGCGTGGGCGCCCTCTTGGGCTACGGGTCCTGATGCTCGGCTGAACCTGGGGTGCGACCCCGTTAGCTCCACCTTGTTGACTGTTGAAAGTGGCCTCAATCGGGGTGGGGACACCGTCCTCTCCCATTACAATGCCTCCACCTTCGGCTCCTTGGGGTGCTGCTCTACCTCGGACTTCTCTCAAAAGTTGGGGCTTCCTGGCGCGCTCACCCCTCGGGTCCTCTAGTTTCAGGTAGTGCCCGAGGGGGCAGCCTCTGGAGCTGCGCTGTCAATTGACATGACCGGCCGCTGGCGCAGACGCCCGCTTCCCGCGTCCAGCTTCCCGCGGTCTAGGCGTTCTGAGACTCTTCCGGAACGAACGCGGATCCACCTTTGCTCGCTCTAATTGCTGCGGCGCCCAGCTGCGTGTCAAGAAAATCCTCACGGATATTTCGCAAGGGATTCCGCGTCCTTCTGCACACCCGGCCTTTCCCTGAGGGCTCTCCCGCTTCCTTTATTAAGGGTTATGGCGCTGCTAAGTGGCGCTTTACTGGCGCTCAGCTGCGAATCAAAGGGACTGAAAAGGTAGGTTGTTCGAATCCACTTGCCAGTGCTCCTGTAGCCATTACAACTTTGGAAACCACAGGGGGCAGTACTACTCTATCTGATAAGGTCACGATGAATCAGAATCCATATCATGGCAATAGGTATGATTTTTTATTTTAGGTGCTGAAAGGGCCTTGAGTTCAGGGCTAGATGGAAGGCAATGGTCAGGATGGGTCAATGGGAGGAGGAAGTGTTCCACGAGATTAAGAATCCAAGGCCCGGAGATTAGATAATAATGGCAGCTAATAAGCTAGCTTTTACTATGTGCCAGGAAAATGATAAATTCCAGAACATTCTAGAACACTTAATTGTACTCATGCGAAGTCTATCTATAGACTAAGAAGCAGTGTTCAAACGATGAGAACACTGTTGTTGTTGTTGTTAGGTGCCGTCGAGTTGTAGATGACTCATAGCGACCCTAAGAATGAAAGGCCTGAGCATTGTTCATACATAGAGTTTCTGGAGGCAAGCCATTTCGGAAGTGGGTGCGGCTCCTGCTTCCAGGCTAGAGAACACTACATGGTTGTATCCTTTCTCCATACCTATTCAAAGGGAAGAAATAAAAATTAAGGAGCTGAACAGAAGATTTCAAAGGCCACCGCAGGAAGACAAAGTAAAGTATTATAATAAAATGTGCAAAGTGCTGGAATCAGAAAATCAAAGAGGTCAAATATTTAACCATTTCTCAGCATTTCTTAAGCTGATGGAACAGAAGAACAAATTAAGCCTCGAGTTGCAATACTTAAGGATGCTTTGGGCAGAATATTAAATGATACAGGAAGCATTAAAAGAAGATGGAAAGAGTATAGAGTCATTGTACCAAAAGAAATTAGTGGACACAGAAAAATTTCATGAAACAATGTATGAGCAGTAGCCTGTGATGATGAAGGAAGAAGTTCAAGCTGCTCTGAATTGGCAAAATCAAGGTCCCAGGAATTGTTGGCATACCAATTGATGTATTTCAACAAACAGACTCTGCCCTGACGTGCTCGCCAAGTTGTGCCAAGAAATCTGGAGGACAACTACCTGGCCAACTGACTGGAAGAGATCTATATTTATTCGCATTCCAAAGAAAGGTGACCTGACAGAGTGCAGAAATTATTAAACAATATCATTAATATCACATACAAGCAGGATTCTGCTGAAAAGGATCCAAAACAGACTGGACAACACATCAACAGAACTTTCAGATGTGCAAGTGGGGTTTAGAAGGGGCTGTGGGACTAGAGATATTGTAGCTAATGTTAAATGGATCTTGGCTGAAAGCAGAGAGACCAAGAGGATTGTTTTATCTGTGTTTCATTGACTAGGTAAAGGCATTTCACTATGTGCATCACAACAAATTGTGGCTAACTCTGAGAATGGGAATCCCAGAATACTTGATAGTACTTATGTGAAACCTATACTTGAAGAAGGAGGCAGTTGTCAGAACAGAGCAAGGAAATATTGCATTGTTCAAAATTGTGAAGGGTATATGCCAGGGATGTGTCCTATCCCCATACCTTTCCAGTATGTATGCAGAACAGATTATCCATGAGGCTGGGCTCTATGAGCAGAAATGTGGCATTAGGATTGGATGTGTTATGTAGATGACACAACCTTGCTTGCTGAAACTGAGGAGAATCTGAAGGGCTTGCTGCAGAAGGTCAAAGACTACAGGCTTCAATGTGGATTAAAGCTCAATATCAAGGAAACAAAGATTCTCACCATTGGGCCAATTTGTAGCATCATGACAGATGGTGAAGAGATTGAAATTGTTAACAGTTTCAGTTTGCTTGGCTCCACAATCAATACTCTTGGTTCCAAAAGACTAATTGTATTAGGAATATCTTCTGTCAGAGACCTCTCCAAAGTACTGAAGAGCAACGATGTTAGTCTGCAGACTAAGGTGCACCTGATTCAGGTCATGGTGTTTGCAATTACTTGATAAGCATCAGAAAGCTGGACAATGACTAGAGATGATAGAAGGAGAATTGATGCCTTTGAGTTGTGGTGCTGGAGAAGAGTATTGAATGTACCCTGGACTGCTAGGAGAACAAACAGGTTTTTCCTAGAGAGAGTGAAACCAGGCAGCTCCTTGGAGGCAGGGATTCTGAAGCTTCATCTGACATACTTTGGGCATGTTGCAAGGAGGGACCAGTTCTTGGAAAAGGACATCATGCTTTGGAGGATAGAGGGACAGTGCAGGAGAAGAAGACCCTTGATGAGATGGATTAATTCAGTGACTGGGGTAATGGGAGTAGGTATGTCAGAGACAATAAGGTTGACACAGGATAGGGCAGGGCTTAGAGCTATTGTACATAAGCTCACTATGAGTTGCAAGTGACTTGAAAACACCACCACCAACATATTTTTATATTAAAATTTTTATAAGTGAGCAATCATTTACTGATAGCTTAAGTACAATATCAGCAGTAAAAACAAGATCAGGGGCTGTCTGTGGAACAGGTCATCAATTATTATTGTTGTTGTTGATTGCCTTTGAGTCGAACACAACTCATAGTGACCCTAAGAACAAAAAGTCTTGAAGGATTTTATAACTATTGACATTTATCAAAGTTTATAGAGTTTCCAGAGGAATGTTGTTTAGGAAGTGGATGCCACTCCTGCTTCCAAACCTGTCTCAAACTGGGACCTCCACCAAACACCATCTATTGCGGGCAACCGTTAATGGCACTTGACACCCCAATGGCACAAGGTTCAGCATCACAGAAACCCCAGGCTACCTCAGCACAGCACACTGAAAGAAGAGTGCTGTGCCACTAAGAAGAATATTCCTCTAAAATATAATAACAATCAACTTTGAATACAAAGGCCCTCACTGAGGTCTTGTTGACTCTAAGAGGCTCAAATTTAAAAAACAAAAACCAAAACCCCCACAAAACAAAAAACCAAAAAACAACAAACCAACCCAACTAATATAATATGTTGTTGTTATGTGCCATTGAGTTGCCTGAGATGTATAGTGACCCTATGTAGAGCAGCTCTGAACCCTTCCCTAACGTGAGCCAGTCTCACTAATTTCGACACACCAACCTCCATAGCCCCATTGCCTGTAGTCTTCAATATGGATTGAAGCTCAATGTCAAGACAAAAATTCTCACCACTGGGCCAACTAGCAGCACCGTGATAGATGGAGAAGAGATTGAGGTTGTTAGCAATTACAGCTTGCTCAGATTCACAAACAACACTTCTTTTTTTTAAATTTATTTTATTATTTTTGTGTGTGTACCGTCAAATCAGATCTGACTGGTACAGGAGATTGTTCCTCCTTCTCCAGCAGAGCATCTGGTGGGTTCGAACCATGTACCTCTGGGATTGCAGTGCAGCTTCTTGCCACTAGGCCACCAGCGCTCGCCTCAAACAACACTCTTAACACCAACAGTCAGGAAATCAAAAGATGAACTGCATTGGGAAAATCTGCTGTCGGGGACCTCTCCAGAGTGCTGAAGAGCAATGATGTCAGTCTAGATACAAAGGTGCGCCTAATCCAGGCCATGGTCTTTTCAATTACTTGTATTGCTTCAGAGAGTTGGACAGTGACTAAGGATGACAGAAGAGTAGATGTTTTCGAGTTGTGGTGCAGGAGAAGAGTTTTGAATATATTATGGACTGCCAAGAAAACAAATAGGTCTGTCTTGGAGAGGGTGGAACCAAGTTTCTCCTTGGAGGCTAGGATTTTGAAGCTTCGTCTCATGTACTTTGGGCACGTGGCCAGGAGAGACCAGTCCTTGGAGAAGGACATCATGCTCGGAAGGGCAGATGGACAGCGCAGGAGAGGAAGACCCCGGATGAGATGGATTGGTCATCAATTACTCATATGCAAGTCCAAATCGAAGTC